ATAAATTTGCTAAAGATTAAAATTATAAATTCTAGTATCGTAGTCAACCTATTAATATAAACAAAAGTTAAGCTGAGAAAAAAAAATTAATAATTTCATAATATTATTTATACTTAACTATTAAGTATAATGAATAAAATATGGACGAAAAATATTAAAAATTAGAATATAAGTAAATTTGTTATAATCAATCATCTTCATACAGGTTTAAAAAATGTATATTATGTTCTATTAAAATTAATTTGTTGTAATATATTTATAAGTAGTTTGGGTGTCAAGATATCAATATAATAAAAAATATGATTAATCAAAACTCATTATTTCTATTTGTTGTGATAATAATTTGAAGTATCAGTCCGATTATAACATTTATAAATATAACATGTTAATCTGTTAATAGGTAAATAAAATTGCTCAATTGCTTTTTATGATACTCAATAAATGTATGAAGTAGCTATTAAAGTAATAATAAAAAATAAGTAAATACTATAAACTAGCTTATGAAAACACTTAATATAATATTAACTAAAAATAAAAGTTAATTTACATTTATATAGAGTAGATTAATAAACTGAAAATGAAATTGTAAGGCCAAAAAGCAACAAAACACCAATATTTTGTTCGAATTTTGAAACCAAAATTATAGAAAAATTATAGTTATATTAAAAATCATTTGTACATCGTATTACAATAAAAATATGTTTAATAAATTAAGTATAATTAAAATTAAAATATAAACATTAAGAACATAAATTCTAAAATAAGTAAATATGTAATAGTATTGTTTTTTAAAATTATTTATTGCTTGGACCAGAATTAGAAAGTATTAAGTAATTTGTGACTCAGGAGCCCAACAAATTTAAAATAATTTAATATTATACATAAAAAAAAAAATTTATAATTATACAGGTAATACAAACAAAGCATCAATATAGTGTACGGGAAAAAATATGCCTTAATAATTGAGGAACCACTAAATTTTCCATTCAAAAATTCATTTACATTGATTCTCAAGATTTATTAAGCTGCTGGTTTTATTGGTTCATATGTAAAATTTAAAAGATTATAAGTAAATTAAATTTATTAAAACAGATATTTTTTTTTTTATATAAATATTTATAGAAATATAAAAATTATATTAAATTAATGTAAAGAAATAATTAATTTGTTAATTCATAAAAGAAAAAATTTATTGGTTCAAAAAATAAAAAATAATTATTTTTTTGATTTATAGCAATTCATAATTAGGAATTGTTGATACTAAATTATTTTAGAAGATTTTTAATATAGGTAAATATATATTATTATTGTAAAAAAAATTGATATAAAAATAAATTTAATTAAAACAATGAGAGAAAATATAAATAATCTCGAAAACAAAATTACCATATTTAATTAAAAAAAAAAAATTATTGTTAAAACACCATAATAAGAAGTTAAAGAAGACAATTATTTTTTACTTTTAGTGAGAATTAAACATTGTCATAAATATAAATGTCAATTAACTTTATTACTATTGTATAATACTTTGTAGCATGCAATTTTAGTTTGATGTCATACGAAATAATTAATTATGGAATGATATCATAATAGTTTAAATAATTATTCTAGAAGAAATAATATTCACTGTATTTAAGTCAAATCATTTGAAACATTTTAATTTTCATTAAAATATTATTAAAATATAATCCTACTTTTTTGCTTTACAACATAAGATAATTTTGATAATCTGCCAATGGATGTACAACAATAGCTTAGTAACCAAATGGCTTTATGCCACCGACCTATTTGAACATTAATATTATGAACAGAATTAAAAACTAAAGCAAAGATAAAATTTAATTGTTAGGAAATTTATAACTATGGTAGTCAGGTTAATAAATTTAATTAAATTGAATGTTCAAAATATTAGTAGAATATTTCAAAAATAGTGATTAATGAAACAAGTTTATCAAAACAAGTTATCAACTATTAATACAAATCGGTCTAAGTTGACAAAAATAAAAACTGTAGTTACCAATTTTTTAGTAAGTCATAAATATATCCTTTGTCATTAATAGTGATAAATAATCCTCTTGGACGGCGAAAAATCAATCCAAACTTTTGACATGCTAATCCTACAGTTGGCGTATAAACAATTGGTAGTAACATATGAATGTTTTCATTTAAAAGTCTAAAATATAGTCTTTCATTTCGATCCTGTAAACCATATTAACATTAAAAAATAGTTAAATAATTAATAAAATATTTTGATTACTTGTAATTCAGTCAAGTATAAAAACTTATTCAAATCTTCTTGATACTTCATGACACTGAATCGGCATACTTCCAATTGTTCTTCTTGAGTTTTAAATTTGGGTGGCATCAAACCATGAATACCAAGTGCTTGTCGTTCTTCTAGAGTGAATGCAAGACCTTTATTTAACCGAGGATCCCGTATATAATCAATTCCTTGGACCAAAGAAGGGCAAATAATATCCCCGGGTGTACGTGAAGGTGATGAAAAATGAAATTTGCGACATTTTGTACGATCAATACAAGAAGAACTAGCACAATAAAGAGCTAAATTTCTTGAAGCCAACGTAGTACTACAGCTAAAATAAATAATTAAACATAAATTTACTGAAAACAAAGATATTATAAAAACTGACCTAATAGTTTTTGGTAGCAAGTTCATTTCGATTTATGTATTTACAGTAATTTTAGATTGTTTGCATCCGAAAATACACGGAATTCCAAAAGTAGACCAATATAGTACAATTCTAGCGTATAGCAGTTTCTAAATAGCACTAGAGATTAAACAACTATACAAGAACACAATAAAATACTTATATCATAATACACTAAATTTATGGGTAGATAGCATAGATATTAAACTATGTTTAATATCTATGGTAGATAGGTATAGAATGTGGTAAGAGAATAAATCAAAATCAATTTGTTATCAGAAGCATATCACAATCACCGGCTGGCGGCTTTACAACAGTAACCGCTGTAAAAATATTTTCTGCGAACCTCAAATCCAAAGAGGATATAAATGTAGGTAACAAATTGAAAAATTAAATTTATTAAGGCCAATAGGAGATGGGCAGTACAGCCATAGACCTATTAACTAAATTTAGTAAGCAGTTAGATAGTTTTTAGTTTTTTATTTAGTTAATAGGTCTATGAGTATAACAATGTATACCTATAATGTTCAGTTGCAAAAAAATAGTTCCGTGAACTGTTGTAATGATATTAATTGTTGCTGTAAATAACGAGTTATAGAATAGATTGCATTTTACAAAAATATTGTAAAATAGTCTTGTTTTAACCGCTTTCAGGATAGTAAGGTTATAGATAACCGAGATATAAACATTATTCTTATCACATACAAACATACAACGATTGGTCATTATTATGGTTTAAGAAGGTTTAGAAGATTTAAGACTTTAGATCATTAGTATATGATCTGCGATCAAAAATATCTTTACATACAAAAATCATAATGGCTCATAGACATATAAAGATATATCTTTATATGTCTGCATGATGGCTCCTCTAGACTCTAGAAAAACAGACTGTGTGGCCAAATAGCCGCCGACAACGTTGGTTGCCCTCATAGACCTATACATTTATGGTGTTTTTAAGTGTACAGGTCTATGCTATAAACCGCGATAAGATTACATTTAATTTAACCTAATTTTGTACTATAGCCATACTTTTAGCAACAGGAAAATAGGTACCTTAATCCGGGCAGCGAATGCAAAAAATACTAGCCTACTTTTGATAAGTGATATCACAGTTTGGCGTCGTAGTCGTGCCGACTTTACAAAATTCTAATATAACCTAACATTCTCAAAAAAAGACAATACACCCAATGTTGTTTTAAATTTTAGAATTATAAATGTTTTTGCTATCTAGTTATTAACAATTTAAACATTAAACAAATGTTTGAACAATATGTAACATTTTAGAACAATGGTTTAAATGATAAAGAACATTTTGTATGACTAAAGAATTTAATTGAAAAAAAATATCTATATTATAAAGTAAGTTTATTATTTGAATTGAAAATTTTTATATTAAATATTAGTTAGAATTAGATTGAATTAATGGAAGGGTGTAGGTATTTTAGAGCAATCATATAATAATGGTAGTTTTTAACTTAAGTAAATTGAACCGATTAATGTTAGCATTTTACAATACCAATGGCTATTCAAATTTTATGCTTGTGTTATGGTCAGAGTAGATTAATTTATCAGAAGTATGAAAGTTGAAAGAGTTATTTATGTTTATATCTAATATAGAATGTTATGACTAAGTCCCTGCATTCTGGAATAGTTGAATTCAGGATTTTTGTGAAAATGTGACTGAATTGTTTTTATTATGTTATTACCATTAAAATGTTTATGAATTTGCTAACCCCTAAATTGGTATGTAAATATTCATTAAAAATTTGTCATATTGGTACTTTGTACCTAATATAAACATTTTTTAGAATTTTAATTGCTTTACTACATTCTTAATTAATAAAATGGATGACATTCCTAATTGTCTTAAACATTTTGATAATGATTTAAGTTTTAATTCAATATTATTTATTTATTTAAAAATTATTTATTTTTTTTTTACAATACATATTAATTCAATAAATACTTATTCCTATTGTTATGTTTTCATAAATATGTTATGAGTTATTGAGTTTATATATGAATAATTATCTTTATAGTTACTGTGGTTTAATCTGTTCAAATACCATACCTAATTATTTTTAGTATTTACTTATTGTTATTTACTTATATTTTTGTCAAATTATTCTTATTATTTTTAGATTATAAGCAATTACAATCTTCAGCATGGATGACAAATACCGAGCAAAATTAGAAAATTTAGTAAAAGAAAAAAAATATTTGGAATTACAAGGATTTAAAAATATTATTACATTTATTGGTAGAAATTGTGTTTCTGATCAATTATTGGACATTTTTTTAGAGTATCTCAAAATCTATCCACAACAAATATTTCTTATTCCAAAAAGTAATCTATTAAATTAATTTTTATTATATTATTGTAATTTATTTATGTTATACTTTTGTTACAGAACTATTCATTCAACTTTTATCAAATAGCGGAAAATCATTACATCCTTTAGTTTTGTTTTTGGCATCACAACATGATTATATTGATTATGACTTGAATTTGGACAATTTACCAGAAGAAAAATGGTCTTATCTTATGTCAGCTTTTTATGAAAAATTTCCACTTATGACATGTGATCCTATTATTGTTTTAAAAATAAAAAATAAAATAGATACTTATAAAATGTTAATAGACAGTCCACAATGGTTTAATGAAAATGGTGATTTCTTCATGGGATTACATGCTATTGAATTTGGTAAGTTTGAAATAATGCTAAATAATAAATACTGAAATAAACTTTAAAATAATAGAGTAATATACTTTATTTTAAAATACTTTATTTTTACATTTAAAAAATAAATTTTCAATTTTTATTTTACCATCTCACAGCCTTATACTTAATAATATATATATTTCCATTTATATCTGATATGTAAATATGGTTTGGATTAGCTTTAACAAATGATGCATCAACTGGAAAATAACTTTGTTTAACATATACTCTCCTCCTTGGTACTTTAACACAGTCACTTACAGATGATGAATTTTGTCTCTTGTGCTGTTCTTCTTTATCATACTGTTCAAAACTATGTAAAAATTCTTCAAACAATTTTGAAGTTCGATTAAAAGTCTGAGCATTATCCAAGTATTCATCCTTAAAATGTAATAAATATTTAAATTTAATTTTTGTAATAAAAAGTAATAAATAACATACTTTATATGGATTAACACTCGCTCTTCTAAATTGATCCATCGAAAACAAAAATTGAAGTATGATAACTATTAAACTTTTAATTAATTTTAATTTTCAAGTTATTATAAGTTGCTGCAATATGACTGACAGTATAATAAAACGAGATAAACATCAAATGGTCAATAATAAATTGTCATGTTAAACTTTATTAAGAATCTTTTATTAACTCTTTTATGTTTTCAATGAAACCAATTTAGGAGTGGTCATAGTATCTCAAAATAAATTGTAATGTTTTGCTTATCTCAAGATTATTACATAAATCTAAAATATATAAACTTACAACCTTGTTATTGTTTTGTATTTTAGCTATTGATTACAGGCTAATTTATATTTTTGTTAAATTATTATTATCTATTATACTTTGATCCTCTTACCAGTTATAATAGATTAAATAATTCTGCTGCAGTCTGTTAACTTTTTTATTATTAAGAAGTTAAGTAATAATTCTCCTCCTCTAATTACATCCTTATTAAAGCCTAATGAATACATGTTTATTTAACCTATATTTTTTTCCTCTTATGTATTTTTATATTGACATAATTTATATTAATTTAGTAAATATAATTAATTATTCATTTTTAATAAATATTAATTTGGTAAGTAATATTTATTAGATTTTACTTATTAAAATTTAGAATATTAACAAATAATAAGTATGATACTTAGGTAGTAAAAAATAAGATTTTTAATAATTACCACTACAATATTATAGTATATGAAAAAAATAAAAATAAAAAAATGTATTATATAAATGATAAACATTTTGTAAAATTAAACATGTTTATATTTTTTAGATGAAGATGAATGCGATGAATTGTTCACTAAATTAAAAACAAATTGGTCAATATTTAAAATAACAAAAGCAGCTGTTTCTTTTGTAGATTTAGTAGCATCTAAATGTAATAAAGAGTCAGAATTTATTCAGTTTCTTATCTCTACTCTTTTCTCTCTGCCTCCTGAAAAGTAAAAATAATAATATCAGTAATGTTATTAGATTATTTTTAAAACTTAATTTTATTAATTGATCTATTCATTGTTTTTTATTGATTTTTTAGTGAAAATGTTGATTGGTTATCTAATCAAATTATTAATAATTTTAAATTGTTAGAAACTCTCAGTCCATTAGAAATAAGTGATTGGGATGCTTTAACTATTAAAGCGGTTAAATGTGGATTAATAGAAAATGATCCTGAATATGGTTTCATTAGAGTTTTCAGGAAATTAATTAAAAAAGCAAATATTGATAAATCAGTTGTTTCCAAATCTTTTGAATTACTTGCTGGCTATTCACAATTTACTAATATAATGTTAAATCGGGATGCTAAACAGATTCAAAAAGGTAATTTGGTGTATCTGTTATTGCTTATTTCTCAAATTTAAAACCATTTTTTACTTGCAGAAGAAGTATTAAGATTAATTTTTACATTAGTTAAAAAGGAGCCATCTATAATGGCTCTAAGTCATATTCCACTTTTTCTTTGTTCATACAATGCATCATTATCAGTGACTGATCAAATATTATTAAAAGTATGTTATTATTTTAAAACTCAAGACTCAATTTAAAGTTATTACATTTTTAGATTCTTGCTTATTATGAAGAAAATAATATACCAATGTCTAACTATAGACCTTACTTGTGGGGATCATTTGCTGTCTCACATTATCAAGTAAAAAACCACTTAACATCAAAAACGTTACACAGTTTTCCTTCTACAACTGAAGTGCTTTCTTACATACCATTTAAAAGACTGAAAGAAACAATATCATGTTTTCCAGTTAATAGATCTTTGTGTGTAAAAGTAAGCATTTATTTAATTATAATATAACATTTTTATTTAATGTATTTATTTTAATTATTTTATAGAATGAAAAAATTATACGTTACAACCCAAGTAACTCTCAAGATCCAAGTAAAATGTTTGATCCCTCATTTTTTTTGCCAATGATCAGTAGTTTGTTAGCTACCGAAGCCCCATTAAGTATAGAAAAATTTAATACAAGTGGATGCCTGTCAATGGTATTGGTATGTTTAGGTAGTTGTGATTGCAGTATGCGGGCAGCCGCATATCATGTGTTGACATTATTGCGATCTCATTTATTTTGGTAATAAAAATAATTTGATTACTTTTATTGTTATCTAAGTATTTATAATGTATTTAAATTTTTCAGTAGAAGAGCAGAAAATATGTTTTGGGATTATTTTCTTAGTTGGGTTGCACATGGCATTCAACACTTACATTTACAGCCTCCTCCTCAACTACCAATGATTTCAGCAATGTTTTTAAGTAGAATGGTATTAGCTATGGCTAATCATGAAAAGGCTGTAGAAGCCACTTGCGCTAAAGTACTGTTAGCTCGTCCTGTTGCTCAACTCAATTATGTTCCTGAATTGAAAAAATTTTTAACAGCAATGTGAGGTCTTAAATTGTTTATCTATAATAATTTAAAATATAATTATATATTTCTATAGGCTTCCTATTAAAGATAAATCACTAAGCATGATCTGGGTTTTTGAAATAATTCGAGATGGCATACATACTAATTCTGACTGGAATACTCTACGTTTAATGGACATATTCAATATAATTTTATTTATGTTTAGAAGTTCTAATGAAAAGTTTAAGGTAATATTTAGAAGTATTTATTATTTTATTTTGTTATTTAAAATGTATTATATTAATTAATAGGTATTAGTTTTGAAAATTATGGAGTCTTTATTTCGTGTTCAACCTGCAACTAAAGGAGGCACTGGTCCTTGGGCTATAAGTATAATGATAGCAGTAGATAAATGTCCATCAAAATTATCTCCTGAAGTAATCATCGGGACATTTCGATGTTTACAATCATTAACTAATAGCTCATTTATAAGCATTTTTGTGGTTGACTTTTGGCTATCCATATTTTTGAAGTACGGAGAGAATGCTGATATTTGTTCTGAAGGCTATATTACATTAAATAGCCTTATTTCCAAATATAAAAATGTGTTTCAATTGTTCAATAATGAAAATTTAGAAGAAATAATAGATCGTGGAGCTGAGTCAAAGGTTTTATCTGATGATGAAGTATTTAAATGTAGGTCTGTTTTACTTTATGGTATTAAAGGTATTAAAATTAAAGAACCAAATCCATATTTACTTTTACCAGTCTTGGTTAAAATATTGAAAGCAGAATGAATTTTCAATAAAGATTTCACATTAATTTAATTTTTTATGTACAAAAATAATCTATAAAAATTATAAAATAATTTTTAAATAAAAGTTTGTGTTACAGGTTATTTGATTATAATAAAATAAATAACTATTATTGATATGTATATTTTTTTATTAATATTAGATGAAAATTTAAGTAGTTGTAATTGGTTAAATTACTTATAAAATTGTATTACTTATTGTACTTGAAGAATTTAGGTATTGATAATTGATTACATATTAAAAAATATATATATATATATACATACATATATATTTTTAGAAATTGTATACACTATTAAAATATTTTTAAACTAATGCTATATTATTATAACTAGATATCTCGTCATGGCTGCACCCGTGTATATTTATAGTGTATATATGTATATGTGAAAATAAAATTGTACGCAGAAGACAATTTTTGATCGATTCTAGTTATTTTTCTTTATACTATTGTGATATCCGTCGTCACCTCTAATATACATTAACGGATATTGCAATGTATCAAAAGATCTATTCAATGCGGAAACTCGACGCAAGTGTCCACTTTGATTGTGCAGAACTATATCTTCATTAATTAATAATACAGCTAAATCATTGATTGTAAGTGCATTGTATTGACCTCTGTGTTCTTCTTGAGGAATTTGATCTGCGTGAATAATTAACTTTGGCAACTCATTAAAGGACCTTGATTGTAGATTATATCTAAAGCTTTGTTTGAGATAATTATTTTCACGCTGAACTATTTGCATTGATTCAATGAGATTTCTTTAAATTTGGAATTAGAAATACAATTTATATATTACCAAAAGTAATACTATTAATATATTATTATTAATATAAATATGTATAAAATTAATATGTAATTTGTAACTAATCAAAATATCCTTATACGAGGCCATCAGGGATAGTAATTACTCCCTTGACTATAACTGACAATATATTAATTCTGAACAAAATGTTAAACTGACCCATGTATGATCCAATATTTAAACTACTTAAACTTTACATTTTTTTCAATATGTTTTTTTTAAATTATATTCTTTAAGTATTCAAATGATTATTTTCTACCTAATGACAGTTTTTAATTTTTTTTTAAGAATACAATTTTACATGAATATATTTAATATATCATGATTTTTTTTTTTTTTGTTTTTACCTTTAAGTTATAGTTAAATATGAAATAAGATAAGAAACAATTTATGTGTAAAAATTAAAAAATATATTTAAGAAATAACTTTAAACATGTTTTAATAATTAGTTAGGTTAGGTTATATAAGCCCTCCTCTGATAAAATTTCTACCCACGCTCTTGTTCTTATAAAAAATAAGTGTACAAGTGAAAAAATCAACCCCAATGACATCTGAGAATAATTTAAATTGGTGATAGTTTATATTTGGCCTCACATCAACAAAATTGTTAACGCCAAGTCATAAGATTTTTAACAAACTTAGTGGTACTTACTACTTAATTAAAATGTATAATTTGAATATTATTTTGTTACTTCAATGTTATATCACAGATTACTTGAAAAGCTTTTATTTAATTTACGGAAACTGAACATAAATGATAAGCCTGAAAAATAAATCATTATTAGCAGTGGCGGCTAGTGAGGTTCAGATAAGGTGGTGCACAAATAATTTGTAAGATAGGTATGTAGGTGGGTAAAAAAAATATTAATTTTAACATAGGTATAAGTACATATAACGTAATTATCTATTTATATATGTATATATATATATAAATTAATTGCTGTTCGTTAGTTACACGAATAATAATGTACGTTAATGTCGGTGGACGATAATAAATAGAAACACAATTGTTGTTTTGAATTTAAGATAATAATTAACATTATCAGCCGATAATCGGAGTATAATAAACAAATGAGAGTAAAAATAAATCATAATGTTGATGACTACGTGCAACGGCGCGGCGACATCGAAAATAATTCGCTGAAAACAATTGGGAACGCATAGAAAATCCGAAAATATTGTGTTCGAACTGCATATCAGACGAAAAATATTTTAGTCGAAACATCTTTTGTTGGACATGTATTTTATCAGAACAATATTTTAGCCGACAAATATTTCAACCGGCAGTATTTTACCCGACAAATAATTTGGAGACAATAATATCTTAGACAATTATTTTATCGGTCATGTATCACTTAAATCCCAGGTCTACTAGATCCCCATAGTTATCTAGAATATCCCCCGTTGAATAAATTGTTCCCCTGTCATCTGAATCCCCTTGGGCCATCAATAGATTTAGATCTTATAGATCTACATTGTAATAATTACGGTTCTCTTAGTTAAACGATTTTATTTCCCCCCTAAAGATCTAGTTGATCTCAAAATTAGTGATCTAATTGACCAACATTCTTTTAAATACTTGATGATGTATGTGTAAATATACAACATTTTGTATCATTTTGATAAATTATAGATTTTGTAATATATAACATATTTTTTTTGGAAATTACTATTTTAACATGATTGTTAGTCGTCAAAATTATTTTCGTCCAAAATATTTGTCGGCTAAAATACGGTTCGGCCATAATAATTGTCGAATGAAATATTGTCGGTTAAATTATTTTCGGATCAAATACTATCGTCCAAGATATTATTCGGTTGAAATAATTTCTGGTAAAATATTTTCGGGCAAAATATTATTCGGTCTAAATATTTGTCGGCTGAAATACTGTCAGAAAAATTATTTTCGGAATTTTTATAGCCCTCCAAAACAATTTAATTGGTTATGTGCACAAACAGGGGCAGATGGGCCTATCGGGAAATTGGGAATCTTCCCGATGGGCCGGTCCTTATTTGTGCTGCTTTATATTATTATATAATCACCAAAAAAAAGTTTTATTTTGTAGAATAAATAAAAATTATTAAAAAAATAAATATATAATTAAAGATGCATTAAGATCAATCTTCAAGTTCAAGTTAGAACTAATTAATCATGTGACTTACCTAAAACTGTTATAGCTGTAATTATAGTAAAGTTATTGTAGATTTTACTAATTTAGAAACTAAACAAATTTTAAAATTGATGCAAAATAAAGCATTAATTTTTGGGAGGGGGAGGGGTAAGATAGTATAATTTGCGGTTCATGGACCGGTTTGTTTCATATTTCCTGGGCCGAAAATAATTGCCAATCCGCCCCTATGCACATCAATTCCATTATTATGGTATATGTTTTCAATTTTTTTTTGAGTTTGGGTAGGTAGTGGACGTGCACTTTTGCACATATACATGAGCCACCACTGATTGTTAGTAAACTATTATATTGGCTTATAAAACTTAATGATTTTCCAATTATTTTTATTTTTATTTTGTTTCAAAGTAAATCATATTAAAGTCTTGTACCCAATTTTCTAGATTTATGTATAAAAATTGAAAATTTTATGAATTGTTGACTACAAAAATATAATGGATTTTTGTGTTTCAATCGTTTATATCAATATGTAATATTAAAATGTTCGTTAAATTAATTTTTAAAATTAAGCTAAATTTTTTTAATTAAATTTTTATGAGTAATATATGTATATGCAGAACTTAACGCATATACAAACATTTAAATGTCGATTTTCTATAAATATCTCAATTAATCTTAACTATAAAATATATAGCTAACGGTGATAAAGGTAAACATTCAGTAAAAATGATTGTAATGAAGCAATCCTTCTGGTTGAATACTCTACACAGGTGCAAAAAAAACGCATCTTAGTATATAAGACTCAGGCCCGAATTTAAAAATTTGGCGTCCACAGGCATATAATTTATGTCCCCCCTCCAAAAAAAATAAATAATAACAATATAACACTTATTATTTCGTCCATAATCGAGATTCTTTAATATTAAAATATAACTTATAAATTAAAATCGTTTAATACTTTTTTTAATCAACAAATTAAACAAATTATAACATAATAAAACATACAATTTCCTTATTTTTAATATACAAATTATAACATAATAAAACATACTTTTTTATTTTTTTCATTGTTTTATTTTTTTTTCATTAGGTACATAATTTTTAAAATTAATTTTGTAAAATATTTTGCCGCCCCTGAGACGACGCCCTCGGGCATGTGCCTAACCGTGCCCCCTCTAAAAACAGGTCTGTTAAGACTCCAGTACTTTCTTAATTTCACTAAGAATCTAAAATAGTACCTATTTAATAGTACCTAGATGATATTTTTTATTCTATATAATATATTTGTTTTTCGGCTAATAGTTTAATAATAACAACTACCTATATTTTTTTTTTTTTTTACTTCACTTATTTCTATGTTCAAAATATATGTTAAATATTTCCTATAACATGGACGTGTATATTCACAGGATTTTATATTTTTAATTATACAATTCAATATAGTATAATAAGCGTGAAATCAGAAGTAATTTTCAATCAATAATAATTATTATAATAATATCTGATAGATTATTAGATCAAACCTTTTTTTTTATTCTTATATACGTGTATAAAAATTTACTCATATAAACAGATTAAAATGTATTATTTAATATATTATATACCAAGGTATTATGAAATAATTTTTTATAAATTATTCAAAATTCTTTGTGATGATATTTCAGTTTTAAAGTGATGATCTTCACAAAACTAATATAGCACCACTTATTATATGAAAACGCAATAAGATTTCTTAAACCATCAAGTGATTTAATAATACTTTTTATTATATTTGCTACATTTTCTGCATTCTCTGTACCTGATTTACATCGCTTATATATTATCATCCAATACAATAAAATTTGAATCTATAATTTATAAAATATAAAATATCTAATTGTGGTATTGGGGTATAATAATTAAAAATTATTAAGGAAGACTAATCTCCAGAGTTTCCTCCAATTTACGCCGATAAATCTATATGTTTTATTTTTATATAAATACTACATGGTATTTGCTAAAGATATTTATATTGCAAATTAGATAAAATTGTATATATTTTATGGTTATGAGGCATTTATATTTAATAATATTACTACAAACAAGTAATCGATATAATTTTGAACCCAAACTTCTGGCCTCCCTTATTTTTCCCTCGCATTGTATTGTTATTTTTACATATATGTGTTATTTTTTGAATTGCATGGACCCATGTATTTTATCATATTTTGGTTCTAAGTTAAAAAGATATTTTTAGTTTTTGAAGAGCATAATGTTTCACGAAGGCCCTGGAGCGTGAAAAATTACAAATTATACTTTGAAATTCCTCAAGTATATTTGAGAAATTAACAGAATGCAGATCAGGCCCTATTTTTATGTGCACCCCGACACACAATGTGCACCACGAATGTACAAGTGTGCACTACGGTCTACAAAACAAAAATTAAATAATAAGCTAACTACTAGGAAATATGAGTATTATTGAATTTTTTAAATTTAATGCATATATATATATATATATATATATATATATATATATTATGTATGTAATATATTCCTTTTTCTAAGACAGTAGCAAGACTAAATTTTCATTTAAAGCAGTAAAATCAAGTGTGCAGTCCGAAATTGTACAAATAATAGGGACTGATGTATTTGTTTGAATTATGTTTATAATGAAATACATAAAGTTTTAGAATGAATGAATATAATTTACTTCCATCTATCTATTATTTTAATATGTGATAATAAAGTATTTGGTTTTTCTTTTAAAAGCCATTTTTACAATAGGAAATTATTAAAAAAAATATTTTATGTTGTACCTCTGTAAGTATGATAATAACTATTAATATTTGTCTCTCTTTGTTTCTATTAAGTTCTTATTACCTATTTATTTTACTATGTTGCAGAGAAAGCGAATAGAGCCTTGTATTAATGGTATTTTAAACTTATATATAATAGTTATTATTTAAGTTGTTAAGTATGTTCTACAAATTTTTAGATCATAAATATTCGATTTTATTTAAAAATTTCTAATCTTCACTCTGCCTTACATTGAATTTAAATCTTTTAATTACTTCAATCAACATATGTAATAATGGTATCTTAAAACATCATAATGTCAATGTTTCTACGGATAACGGTATATCATGTCCATAAATATTAACATTGCACTTTTACTTATATGATATATCTAGTATATAAATTAAAATAAATTCAAAACGACTTTAGGAGTCTGTAAAGTGTTTACTCGTATATATTTATATATATGTATACATATTAAACGTTCGAATACCTAATGTTTGAGCGGATTGGTAGAAAAGGTACACAAATTGGTACAAATTGTTGGAAAGTGATTTTTTTTATCATAAAATTCTTTTCGTAAATTTTGAGTATAACTACGTGGTGTTTTCAGATAGGTATTTTCAAATCACATATCGTGTCATTCATATAAAAAAAAAGTAATATATATACATACATTTAATATGATGTCATTTCATCATCTGCATACTTATTAAGAAATAACAAACGTGATTCTTATGTGCATAAAATACGATAGGTACACCATATGTAGGTATATAATATCGACGGTGACCTTATTCATTATTATTTAGATCTGTTCCGAGTGCATACATTCAAATCTCGCAGTACTTTAGGTATTTATACATATATATAACGGCACATGTTTCTTTATGAAAAAAATATTATTCAGTAGGATATTTTCTTCAGTAGGTACATTAATAATAATTGTTATTATAAACGGTAACGTATCAATTAAAATTATATTTCTTAATAATTACCCGGAATTATGATAAAAAAAATTAAAAAAAGCGCGTACATAACCAGTTCTTCCTTCATAATATTATTGTACAGTATAAATATATATATACACGTCTTACATACACATAACATATAAGTTGATCTCGGCAGGATGTACTGCTGCGTATATCTGGCGCGGCGGCGTGCCCTCACCGAAATTCTTCGTTCACTTTTTACCTGTTTCGTTCTCCCACCACGCCGCAGCACCTGTTACCCGTTCTGTCCGTTCCGCAGTAATGTACCTGTAACGAAGTCACTTCAACGTCGACGGTAGTGCTGCGTACGCGTCGGAGAACTCCAGTGCATTGCGCGCAAAACGTTTTATACGCGCGTGACATTATTATAGGTACGTACCAAAGCCCGTTGCTATTTATCAACACGTAAACGTATACCTACGTGTTTACACACGGACCGCGGTCGACGTTGTAGCCGGTGGTCGCCATCGTTTTGTTCTCGTGTTTTCCGCGGTTGTGCGAATCGTTCGAACCGCGGTTGTTTGCGTTACCGATCCGTTTTTGCGCGGTGTACGCGAATAACGTACCCAATACTTTGTAACGCATACTCATCACCGGTGTTGCAAAGAAGAAGGGCCTAGAAGAAGGGTACAATAGTCAACTGCTCCCGTCGACGACTTGTGTGTGTATTCGGATTATTCTTTACTGGGTAAGCACATCGTTCGATATACACCTGTAATGTACAACACTGTTTAACGTTTACGGCTTGGGTAATATTTATATTGCCTACGGTTGGGTACGGTTGTTCGGTTTGTTGTGTACGAGTGAAATACGAGTTTGTTTTAAACGTTTCTGTTCGTTTTTCGCGTGACTATGCGTTGCGTTCGCATCGTCGTCGTGCCGTACGTAATGTCAACCGTCTGGTACAAGATGTGTCGTCTCCGTAGTCCTGTTGGTTACCTATCTCACGCGTACCTACATGTTGTATAACGTGACACGACGGTATTGTCAGATTTTTAATTTCTTGACAGCGCGCTCGAGAGTCATTGACGGTTTTAACAGATTAATGTACCTACAGTATATCAAACCCCTAAACGTCCCAGAGTCGGTTTTTTCAATTTTTCCATTTGAAAACAAATAGAAACAGATAATTTTTGAAATTATTGATTACTACTCTAAGTATGAGTAGTTCAGAACAATAATTATAGTCAATAAATATACAATATGTATGTATAAATGTATATGTAAAATATAATATAACACACAATGACGTAGCCAAGGGGGCGTGGGTGTTCTAACTTTTTTTTTTGTTATTAAGAATGGTGGCGAACTATATAATATTATTTTGTTTGTATATTACGACGTCCACCATCAACGGTAACGTCGATTCTTTTAGTCGAAAATATGACAAATACACGACTAGAACGAGAAAACTACGTTTTTTTTTTATTTCAATGTAATAAAATTTGTTGTTAATACAGTATGGAGTTTTTGGGTAAAGTTGGTATTTAATAATCACACACCGTAATGAAGTCCATGTACGGTCAAATATGGATCTTAGTATTTATAGTATTATTATTTTAAAATATTATAGGTTTAGTATTATACTTGTGATGTATCAACATAGATTACAATTTATCGATTTCTTTAATGCAATACAACATATATGTATTGCAAAATATAATGTAATTTAATGCAGAGCGTTATTTTAATATATTTTAATTATAGTTCAGCTATTTATCCCATGAGTTTTTGTCCTTGCTGTTGAATAGTCTTATAATTGTTTTACACTATTATATTTATACCAGATTTTCTAAAAAAAGTAACAAAAATATATCATCATTAATATACAATAATTATAGCTTTTATAATAATATTAACAATCAACTCAGTTATAGTATCTATAAAGAAAATATCTACTTAAATACTAATTTATATACCTTTTCCTTACCATGGTGTATAAATTATAAATTTCTTCAATACGTACAAATGGAATTTGCAAATTATTATTTTTATCATATTATTAGATTGTGAAGTTTTGTCTTGTGACACATAGTTAATTTTTTCAGCATCACCTTGATTCGTTATTGGCTTCTATACTTCAGTTTTCATAATCTTTTTGATTTTTACAATTGTATGATAATCCATTTAGTGAAAATTATCTTAGTTCCAATTTTTTTAATATTTTTAACTATAACGTAAGTGTGTAATAATAATTTAAAACCAATTTAAATTGTATGCTCTTTTAAAACAATATAATTTACATTTAATATTAATACAATAAAATTACAAGTGTGATAATAAAAATCTATTGTTATTCATTTTAACTATCAACCTATAGGAAATATTTGGCTCCCAGTTATTCATAGCTTTAAAATTTATTTTTCAATGAAGTAGTGAAATAAACTCGAGTAGGTACTTGATTGAAGTCGAGTATAGTCAAATAATCGATTTAAATTGAATAAAATCGAGTACTCGTATTTACGAGTACTAACATTTTTTTCGTTGAGTCGAGTCGAGTACTCAAACTTGACTCGAAAAATGTTACATATTCGTGTAGGTACTCGTTTAACTCTAAAAAATTGTATTGATTTGAACACACAATGTAGGTACTGATTTAAATAATAAATAGGAAATTGACCATTAACTATACTCCTATTTCTAGAACAAAATTAAATGCATGGTAATTTATACATATCCTTTTAAACTATACTATCTAATTTTGTTGTGAATTATTTATATTACTATCGATTCAAATATATAGGAAATAAAATATCGTTATTATATCTTCTTCCAATTACGACTTTCTACTGAGAATTTGTTAGCGTAATTTTCTTACCACTCAACAGTTTCTGAAGAGGTGTAATGAAATAAAATTGACCTAGAGATGTAAAACAACATATTATTTACATACAAATCAAACTGCACGTAGAACTTATTATTTAAAAACTAATTTTAAAATTAATAGCCATTTTTAATAATAATAAAAAATAAGACCATTGGTTTAAATAAAACCATTTAATTAAAAAATTACGTAAAATACGAAATTAAAGCTTTTCCAAAAATATTCGAAAATATTTCAGTGTTAAAATTTCTTTTTAAAAAAATATTTAATTATTTATATTATGAAGAATAACAGTATTTATCTTGAAATTTAGTTCAATCAAATTTTTAATTTTTCTAAATTTAAATAAATAGTTTATATTTAAATTAAACATTTTAAATGGATTTTTCGCAATTATACGTGAAAAATTAATTAACATTCGATTTTAAACAGAAAATTGATTTTTAAATATATTTGAAAACATTTAGAAAATAATGTTTATTCATGGACCTATATGAAGAGGAAGTATTTAAGTATTATGTCAGTTTACATAAGGGAGTAGGGGTTCGAGAAATATGACAGTGTCTTACATGGAGGAAGGAGCTAAAACTCAAATCTGATGTCAGCCTCATATCTATCAAAATTCGAGTTAATGGATGAAAAAAGCAAAAATGAATGTATTACCAACAGTATTGAAGACTGAATATTTATTCATATTATTAACTTTATTTTAATAGTTGAAGAAATTACTTTTATGAATTAGAAAATAATTTAGTGAGGTCTGTGAAAAACGTTGAAGTTAGATGGAGGGGTAGTGTCTATCTGACGTACGCTGGCATGGGAGAATTAAAAAATTTTAAAAATGCTAATAAATTTAATACCTAGTGAATACTCACGTATAAATTATAGAGTAATAAATTGTCTATTAATTATAGATATTTACATTTCAGACAATATTAGTATGTTCAATACGAGGTTAAATAAAACCTTATTATTTTTATTTAAACTTAAAATATTCGCTACTAATATAATTATTTTAGAATTTGAATCTTAATTAGTGATTAAATAAAAAAATGTCCATTATTATTTTTAGATTAGAATACTATTTTAAATTTTAAAATAATTGGACCTTCGTTCGGCAAAGATATCCATTTCTCCTTCAATTTCCTAATACCCTTGGTGTTGACAATATAACCTCAGTTATAATTAAAGTTGATTCAACTTTTTTTCTCCATCTGGGTTAAAATTTAAAATGTTTATTATCCAATAATTTTGTTTACTTACACATTACATGTTATAGAAAACAATTTATAAATATCTTGAAATCCAGTAATATAATTGAGTAAATTAATATTAATGTCAAAAAACTTTCGATTTTTATTGAATCTTTTTTCGAAGTTTTATTTTACTTTTTAATAAATTTGTAATTATTTATTAATTATATACTTATTTGTAAATACTCTGTTCAAATGTCTGTTTTAAATACTATAAATATGAGTATTTAGTAGAATTATTAATACTAACAAATATTCAATAATATATTTAATTTTACAAACTAGTATAAGTATAAAAAGATTTTTTAAAAATGATTAAAGTTACAATAGTTATTATTAATATAAATTGAACTGTAATTTTATGAACCAAAAACCACCCACCAAGATTGAATTTCATCACGTACTGCATGTACCGTTTTAGTTACTTGTGACGTAGGTGCATTTACAAAATTATCATACAATTTTGAAAACTTTAATTCATTTATAATCTCTTAGTAGAATTCAATAATTCTTATTATTTTAAAGCTATAATTATTTTACTTGTCTTATTTCACATTAAGAATTATATTAAATACCACCCAAGCGGTTTGATACAATTACTAACTCTAATAGCTCAATAACTTGCTGCTATACATGTATATACACAATATATTTTATGCGTATCTAATGAATTAATATATACAGATAAATACCGAACTTAATATTTATGTATAAAATAATGAAAATTCGAACTTATCAATACCCATAATATAGGTACCTAAGTATACTATAATGTTGTTTACGATATACTTATTGAATAATTTATTTAAGTTTTTGTAATATGATTATTTACATTTTTGAGACTAGAAAATTATTAATATACTAACTCTATTCCAATTTTTATTTTTATTCTGTATTTATTAATAAATGTAAAAATTTATAAATTTCATCTTTTAAAATATTTTTTATTTAATTTCATACATTTTGAATAGTCATAAACTTATAAATAACTATAATTAATTAATATAATTGTTGTAATTATGCAACTATTGGCTATTCATTTATACACGTAGTGATCCAATTTTCTTTACATTATTTAACATAAATACAAATATTTTCCTGGGAAATATTTATCTATGTACATACTAATTACTATAGATTCAATCTATTCAAATAAAAATACATTGATTTTTTTTAATTTATAAATGTAAAAATGACTTTATATAGGTACATTTTATAATCATAGTATTAGCTATGTAGTGTAATATATAAGTATATCAGTAGTTTGAGTAATATAGGTAGGGGTACTGTCAAGTAGTTGTAGTAAAATTGGTCGTTTGGAAAATTAGTCGTTTTCAAAATAATATATATATTATGTAAAAAATAATATTTTGTCGTGATTCTATAAATCAAATTAAAAAAAAAAAAATTATTATAAAATAAATGATATGCCTGATTAATAAAAATAATATGTGTAAAAATAATATGCGTGAAAATAATTATAAGTTATGAGCTATTCCAGATATATAAAATGTTTTATTATTAAATGTTATACATAATGTATTTATCTTCTCATCATTGTCATTATTTTTTCTGTTTTCTTGTCGTTTTTGCTCCAGTACAATACTGGAC